ATTCTTATATCGGGATATGAGATTTTGGTCATATCGCACAGCCCTAGTGCCTGCTTACAGCAGTGTTTTAGTGTTTTGTTTTTTTGTGTTTCCTAAGACTGTTTCCCCACAGAGTAGTAAAACAGAACTTAAAATCACTCCGCTACTATTTCTTTATAAGAAATTGAGTTATGTATACTGTATATCACACAAATCCATATGATTTTTAGGGCTTTATTATGTGTTGTTTTCTTTATCCATTTATATGTATCATTTTAAAGTTTTATTCTATGCATGTTGATTGTTTTTTCCTTTTATGCCTCTTAACTACTTCCATTTTTACTTGCTTGTTTTTCCCATTTATTCTCAGTTAATTCATTCCACAAATAGGATCAGTGGACATGTTTGTTATCACCACAGGCTAAAGACGCGAATGTCTGAAATTTGTCTCACCAAGGAGGCAAATTTCAGTGGCTGACTGGCCAGGCGTGCAAGGTTTTTGTTCCCTCACATACAAGAACCTTGCTGAATGAAGATATAGGGCAAAATAAATTGAATCACATATCATCAAGTACCTCTTTTGTTAAAGTATGACGGAAAACCAACATGCACGGTGATATGTCAAATTCTTCTTTTTTGTTAAAAAGACCCATTAACTTTTAGACTTCCAATCACATTCCTTCCTGGCTTTCCTTTGGTTTTATTTTGCACATTTTATCTTAATGTGAACTTTTCTATGAGTGTCTCCCGACTCTTTCTTTGCTTTCCATGAAAACCTCCTTGCTCATTCTTAGCCAAAGATTTCAGATACCAAACTAAGCTCTCTGTCAACTTTGTGAGGAGGTCTTGCACAAGACTTTTTGATAGAAGATTACCACTGCTTCATTTACACTGTGAAAGAAGCAGGCACTGAGATTATGATCAACACAGATTATCATTGTGTGTGTGAGAGAGGATGTGAAAGTGTGAGAATGGGTGAAATACAGTGATCAGACTGCAGTGGCTGGAGCGTTTCGCTGCGTGAATATAATCGAAAACATTTGTAATGAACATCTTTTTACCCGTATGTCAACATCTGGAGCTATGCGGGAGTTTTATTCATGTCTCTGTGCTCTCATTTGTTTCTCTCTGCCCTTAGCTTCTCCTTGGCATTCCTATAAATCCACTCTCAAAATACTTTAAAAGTATTTGGGGTGTTGCCTGTTTTTCTTCTTTTTTTCTTTTTGTTTTTATTGCTGCTTGTGCCATTAAATCATCACAGAATGCAGTGAAAACTGTATAAACCCCTCCACAGGCATGCAGACGTGCTCCTTTCCCTAACTTGGTTTTCCTCTAGGTCAAGAATCAAGAATTCAAGTTGTTATAAATGCAACCTTGTTTTTTCACATTAAAATGAGTTAGCCATTGAGCAGGAGAAGGAGGGAGGAGGAATAGATGGGAAAATAAACTGTAAGGCTTGTGTGACTTGTTGAAAATGCAAAATTAGTTTATTTATGTTTTAAAAATTCTTTGTGCATGTAACAGCAGCTGGAATCCAGCACATGGATGCTGGCCTTCATTACGAACAATGAAACGTAATTAAAAGTATTGACATAATATAATTACATCCAAAAGCTATTACTAAAAAGGCAGATGATAAATGAATGATTTAATAACATCTGAGTTGTCTTATTTTTCTTGTCTTTAGAGGTGTTTAATGTGTCAGTGAAAAAGCTGCTTTTTTATTTTCTTTTGGCTGCATAACCCATTCAACCCTCTTTGAAGGACCAGAGGGAGTCTCTGCTGGTCATACTGTATTTCCACACAGAGCCAAAAGTAATATTTGTTTTGTTCTTCTTGCAGGTGACCAAGGAAGATTTCATGAGCTTTGAGCACATTCTGTGCATGGACGAGAGCAATCTGAGGTAGAGTTATTTCAGCCCACAGCAGCAGTGTTTATTTTTTTTCTAAGAGTGTCGATCACGGTTGGATACTTAGACGCTGAAAGTGCTGGTGTCATGTGTTAAGTGTCAAAAAACATTTGTCTTGTAACGGTCCAAACTAGTGTGCTGTCATGACGTTTATCTGTGCTGTTCTTTCACATGCATACATAAAAATGGTGGGGACATTGAGCTATAAATGCCTTGTAGGAGAATGCCTCCCTTTAATGACCAATATCCTTTCTTAAGCTCTTTGCAGAGGTCAGGGGGAGGGATATTTTTTGCTACTTTGAACGTTTAAGGATCATTTTGAGATCACATGCCCACGGCAGATCTGATCTGTAAGCAGCTTACTGAGTTCTTTGGATGCCTCGTCTTTGCTCTTTGGGTAGTCTTTTCTTTCCCCCTGCATACTTTGTTTCCTACAAATTTTAAGCTGGCCAGACTGAGAATTCATTCTTTGACCTACTGTTGTGCTGCTTTTGTCTGGGATTGACTTAAACATGTTAAGGTGTTACTTTTCATTTATGTACTCTGCATGTTTCCAGATTACACTGTTTTATTATTTATCACTGATTTAAAGTTAATGACATGAATGTAATTATTATTAGAGGAATGCTAGAATAAGAGGCAGACAATAAACACTATACAACATTATCTCGTATATTTAGAAGCATGTGACCTCTTTAATCCAGAGGTGCTCAAACCTCCCTTGTTTCGTGCTCTGTTCTTTTGGAGTTACTTGTTTTCTCTCACCTTTGCAGTGACTTGAAACGGAAGGCAAAGTCTGTGAAAGATTACACAGCAAAAATTGAGCTTCTTGGTTCTTATGACCCCCAGAAGCAGCTGATCATCCAAGACCCTTATTATGTAAGTATTTAAACAAATCCCTATGTTCAACTTTATTGCTCAAATTTAGAGGATATGTTTAATTTAATGTTGTAGCGAGGTGGTCCAGTAAAGAAGCCAAAGCCAGTAAAACTACAAGATGCAACATTTAGAGGCATTTACTTACATTTAAGGGAGACGCAAGAACTCATTTTAAATATCCATACCATTTGGCATGTTAAATTAAGATAAGTGCCATGCTAAGGTCTCAACCACAAAGGCCTAGAGACCTGTCAGCAACTCTCTGGCAACCAATGGTTCCAAGGGAAAATGTGCATTGTCTGAAAGGTTGGTGAGTGGCAGCTGGCACTTTCTGTGAAATTGATTGCTAAAGCCCAATTCATGCAGACGTAAAGACCTGTTAGTTACTCAGTGATGGCAACCTCAGCTTGCTAGGGAAAAGTGCATATTCCTGACTATCTCTCTCTGTCTTATCTAGTACAGTTAGGTCCATATATATTTGGACACTAACACAAGGTTGTTGTTTTTTACCCGTTTACTGAAACATATTCCAGTTATAGTTATATAATAGACATGTACATAATGTGCCAACTAGCAGCTTTCAATCAAGGGTATCCACATTCAAATTGGATAATGGGTTTAGAGTTTTCAGCTCCTTAGCACGTGCTCCTCTTTTTTTAAAGGGACCAAAAGTAATTGGACAACTGACTCAAAGGCTAGTTCATGGGGTGGTGTGGGCAGTTACTTCGTTATATTATTATCAATTAAGCAGATAAAAGGCCTGGAAATTATTTGAGGTGTGGTACTTGCATTTGGGAAATTTTCCTGTGAACAGACAACATGGGGTCAAAGCAGCTCTCCATGCAGGTGAAATCCCCATCCTTAAGCTGCAAAAACAGACAAAAAAAACATCCAAGAAATTGCAGCAATTTTAGGAGTGGCAAAATCTGCGGTTTGGTACATTCTGAGAAAGAAAGAAAGAAAGAAAGCACTGTTGAACTCAGCAACGCAAAATGACCTGGACGTCCACAGAAGACAACAGTGGTGGATGATCACAGAATCATTTCCATGGTGGAGAGAAACCCCTTTGCAACAGCCAACCAAGTGAACATCACTCTCCAGGAGGTAGCTGTATCAATATCCAACTCTACCATAAAGAGAAGACTGCATGAAACTTAAAAAAATAAATAAAAATCCAGCACAGTTCTGTCAGAAACATTCTTTGGACAGATGAAACCAAGATCAAACTCTACCAGAATGACGGCAAGAAAAAAGTATGGAGAGAAGGCGTGGAACAGCTCATGATCCAAAGCATACCGCATCATGTGTAAAACACAGCAGAGGCAGGGTGATGGCTTGGGCATGCATAGCTGCCAGTGGCACTGGGACACTAGTGTTTATTTATGATGTGACATGGGACAGACGCAGCCAAATCAATTCTGAGGTGTTCAGAGACATACTGTCTGCTCAAATCCAGCTAAAGGCAGTCAAACTCATTTGGCGGCATTTCATAATAAAGATGGGCAAAGACCCAAAACATACAGCCAAAGCAGGACCCAGGAGTTTATTAAAGCAAAGAAGTCGAATATTCTTGAATAGCCAAGTCAGGTGATTCGATTAAAATTCATTGTGGTAATGTACAGAACCAAAATTAGAAAAAAAGTTGTCTCTGTCCAAATATTTATGGACCTAACTGTATATATCAAGTTAGCTTATATATATCAAGTTAGCTTTTCTTCTGTTGAACAGATGATTTGATTAAAAAGTCCTTCCATATTTTTCCTAATATAGGTTTTTATGGCGATTACAGTTACATGGGCTGGTGTTTTAAAAAAACCATTTTCTTTCACTTAACCTGAGCTCACCATTTCAGTAATGGCTCAGCCTTTTTGCTCTTCTCCGTGTGTGCAGACAAACTCCGGCTCCACATTAAACTATGACGTCATCTTGTCTGCTGTGTTTGTGCTATCAGTAATCAGTTTTTATTTAAAAACTGGGGGCTGCATGGGCTTAATGTTGTAATACTTTTTTATTCACATGCATGGCCCTAGATACATTACTATTGCACATCTATTTTTAGTCTCAAATGCTGGTAAAATTATCACGTTTACATGGTGACAACTGAGCGCTACCGAGCTGTGGATTAAATGAAGCATTGAATTAAAAAATTTGTATTGAGATTTTTTTTTCCTATAATTGAGTTATTTGAGTGACTCGATGAATTGTTATATCCCTAGTCTAATGTGTGAGTGGGCATCATCTGACCTGCCCTTTAGACTCTCTACCCAGGCAAAAACCCGATCTAGTATTTCTACTAGTGATAAGGTGTCTAAATGAACTCTGTTGTAAATGTGAAAAGGGGGAACTTTAAGCCAAACATACAAAAAAATGAAATCTAATATATAGAAGAGACAATAAAGCGGGAATAACTTTTTTTCATAATAAGAATCCTGATTGAAATACTTTTTCAGGCTTTTAAAGTAAAACTTCAAACTCTTTCAGTAATTGTAGTAGATACAGAAAAGGCTACATTCAGCACATTCTGTAACATTTGTGTTTCTCTTCAAAGGATTACATGGGAAAAATGTTATGGACAAGATAAAGGACAGGAAATGTCACACAGAGCAGTCATTTGAATTATGTTTATGGTTTTGGATGGACCGGATCAGTCTACAGGTGCAAGTGGAAGAGTTACAGTTTTTCTCCATTGGTTTGGCTCATTTCTTTAAACAGAAATTACATTCTCAAAACTTTAGGGTCATTTGGCAAAACACTCTTACAGTTTAGCACAACACTATAGCTCACCTGCAAAAGCTCATTTCTCTTCCAAAACTGTTCACTCAGGCTTCAATCTAAATCCCTTTCGCATTTAAACAGTCAGTGTCTCCAAAATGGCAAAGATCCTTCTCAATAGCTTTGGCTCATTTCTCGACACAGATCGGACATTCTCATCATTCTTGGTGCTTTTGTCAAAATAAACCTGGATGGTTGATCACAACAACATGGTCCACCTGCAAAAGCTCATATCTCCCCTAAAACAGTTCACAGGTGTCAAAACTACATCTCTTTCTAATCTGAATAGTCAGTGCCCCCAAAATGCATCGTCCCTTTGGCATTGTGTGAGTACTGCCATACAAAATGTTTAGA